GATAATATTGATTTGTGTTGAGCATTGTATTGATGTTTGTAGCTTTTCTTGTTTGTTAATTTTATCTTTGTTTCCAGTGTATGCAAAATTTTGTATTTTTATTAAGAGTGCTGAGTGACCTATGTGGTCAAAGTGCTTTGTAAATATCACAACTACTAATACTCTAACTAAAAGTAGGATGTACAGGCATTCAGAACTGCAACTGTCAATGAATCAACAGTGAAATGTTTATATCAGAGAACAAATAATAATCCAACAATATTTAGTTAAGTAAAAAATCTAATGTATTGCAGGTTCACCCAAGTCATAGGGTGTGTTACATTCCATACTGGGGTAGCGAGAATAGCAGCGCTAGATACGAGGTCCTCTGCTTGAAGACTGTTCCTTTATTCATTCTTGGAATTCAGTAAATTTAGAAGCCAAAAGCTGCAAGCAAAGTTTTAGCTGTCTAGATTAAGAAATTTATGAACATCAAGAAATACAATTAAGAAACTGTGCTCAATATTTTGTCATATATAAAGGACTATGGATGTTAAAATACTAGACATATGTTGTTTACAAGATATACTTCTCTCAGAGATGTTTTGGAAAAAATTTGTATATTATGATTTAAATGTTTTAAAGAAAACATATGTAGTGTTACTGTAAAAAAATAATACAATTTTGTATTACTGTACAATATTTTCATGAAATTTTCTTTTGATTGTATTGTATTTTTTATAGAAATGATTTTGTAAAAAAAGACAGTTCTCATGATATGAGTTTTGTATTTTTTGCATAAAGAATTTGTTCATTAAAACATCCAATTTTTTCTTTCAATAATTTTATTTTAATTTGTAATGTATGTTTACATCTTGGTGCAGTAGAATCCCAACTTAATAATAAGATGCAGTCCCGGAAATCATTTGTAACTCGTGTATTTAGAACTATGACCCTATTTTCCTGTAGATGCCTGAAGGACACATCTGGGGGTCAATGAACCTGTGGCTCTGGCTCTGTCCTAGACCAAACCTAGTGGAGTTATTGAACTGTTCAGTCAGGATGTTACTGCTGGCCACACAGCCCAAAAATATAAATCACAGCCCAGGTGGTCAGGCACTGATTGGAGGAACTTTTTCCCTCTTGAAGACTGCCAAAGTTTTGTTGGTAATTTCCTGTGTAAATGTAGGGCGGGCATTGACACTCCTTCAGTTCTCTATTGTACTCGTTTCTTCCCTCCTTATTGGAGGTATTTCACAGTGTGTGCCAAGTCTCTTGTCATATGAAGTGTTTTTGGTATTCAGGTTTGGAGCCAGTCTCTCTGGGTGTATATTATGATGTACCTCTCTTGCCCATATTCCAAGGAATACAGCTGAACGGACTGCAAGTGTTCCTAGTAGTTCATATGCTTAGTGTATAAGTGTAAGTGAAAGTTGTGTGTGTCTTTCACCTTGGCAGTCTTAAGAACATAAGAAATGGAGGAACACTGCAGTAGGCCTACTGGCCCATATTAGGCAAGTCCTCAAATCCAAACCCACTGTCAAAAATATTTGCCCAACCCATTTTCAGTGCCACCCAAGGAATAAGCATTGATAACCCTATTAACTGATGTGCAAGTCCCACTCAAATTCAACCCCATCACTCATATTTATCATGCCTGCTTTGAAGGGGGCTATCAGTATACAGCAGTATTGCAGCCTGGAGAGAAAAAAGTAACTTGAGAATTATTATTAGAATAAAAAAGAAGCGCTAAGCCACAAGGGCTATACAGCGCCGAGTAACTTGACAAGTATCTTGGCTTGGCATTCACTTGAAAATTTGTTATCCAGCATGTCATTTTCCTTGCAGAAGTAATGGCAACATTGTTGTAATCATTGACTGTGAGACTTCTGACATCATTACTCCTAAGTTTTGCACACATGACTTTCACTCTATTGAATGATTTGAGTAAGTCTTTATTTCCCTGCCTTCTGCCTGCAAAAGCAATGAATTTCTTTTTAACATCTATTGTTTCCGAGATGCACTGAAAGAATCTTAGCTAGAAAAGGGAAGCAGTGTAATAAAAATGCATTTCTGAGTTGAAATACCATATCCAGTGTCATTACTTTTTTGACAATGAAAAAAAAATGTTCAAACTTTAAACATCCCTTTCTTCCCCTTTCCTTTTTTCCCCTCCTCCCCCTATTTTCTGACCTTGACTCTATCATACGCAAAAATTTTTTTTACACAGCTCTCTATCCCCTCATTTTTGTGGCCTCATGTGTGTGGGGGGGGGGGGGAGGAGTGTGGAAAGCAAGTGTTGGATGGGAAGCAGCAACACTCCTTCCCCCCCCCCCATCCTATCAAAACAACACCCCTTACTATGCTTCCGCCATCTTCTGTTATTAAATCACTGTTTTTGACAAACTTTCCCAAAAACAAATGTGAGCCTTTATATGTTACATGATATACACAAATAAATTTGCAGATGGTAAAAAAACTAGAGAAAAAAAAAATATTCAATAAAAACCAAATTCAGCTTTAAAAAATTTTTGTAATTAAATTGCATTTCATTATAAATTCAAACAAAAAGCATAAGCCCCCCAGACTACATATTAAAATTAAATAACATATATAAATGTTTTGGGGACCCCCTGAGAAAGAAGTTTTTTAAATACAGATATGTAAGAAAATTTAAATGGTTCCAAAATGTTCTTGTAAGTACCGAATTTGTAAAACTGGTGTTTGTTAGTTGGGGTTTATACACTCGAAGAAAATATTTAAAAGTTTTTTAAATTTTAAAAAAATATTTTAAAATTTTGAATTAAAATTTATCTTTAAATCCCCTCCTATTTCCCAAAATGCTCAATTGTATGTAGCTGTTCCCCTTTTTCCCAAAACTATTTTTAAACCCCAAAAGTCATTTGCTCCTAAACTCTGTATTGGATGCTCCAACCCCCCCCTACGGTAAACATCGAATTTTTTTTCCAAAATAATAAAATTTTTTCATAAATTTTTTTTACACTAAGACATTAAAAAAAAACTTAAGGAGAAGTTTATAACAAATACAAAAGGGCCATCTTCAAACATACAAGGGTACCCCCATGACCAAACCCAAAACCGACCTGAAAAAAAGAGGTTCTTTCTGATCATCTGCAAATGTTTTTAAATGGAGAGGACCTGCTGCATAAAGGCGTTTAGGTCAGGTGGAAAGATTTGGTGAAAATTTAAGACCCCCCGCGCACCAAAATTTTCGTGCTAGGAAAAAACCCCAAACCCAAGAAGCCAGTTTCAATTCATTTTTTTGTTTTAATAAGGCATGGTAGCCAATCCCCTTTTAACATCAGCCTGTGGAAAAGGTGCATTTAAGGCACAATTAAATTTATGCACCTTAAATTTCTTTATTCTTATACGGTTTTTATAGAGCTTCCTCCATTCAAACATTTATTGTTGAAAAAAAAGCTGGAAAGAAAAAATGTCAGTCTTTGGTTAATTTGATTTTTTATTTTTTACCAAAGAGCATTAAACCTGCATGGGTCTTTTGGATTTTTTTTTCCTGATATTGCCTCCATATGTCTATATCCACAATGTAATGACAAAGAAAAGTTATGAGCATCCTGGTTTGCTATTTGTTTTATTCAGAATACTCAGACTATTGGTAACTTCCAAATTAAAATTCTGATTTGTATGCAGTGAAATCCATGAATCCTATTATTATTATTATAATCAAGGGGGAAGCGCTAAACCCGGAGGATTATACAGTGCCTGGGGCGGGGGGATGTGGAAGGCATTCAGGCTTAATTTGGGGAACTGGAGCACAGATCCAATTCCCTAAATCAAGAGCCCCTCACCAACATGAATCCTAAATTACATGATTTATTAACAAGGTTTTTCAAGTTGTCCATGGTACTACTGACAATAACCTCGTCATTAGTATTCACAGTAGCTTTCTCTATCTCTACTTCATTCACTGCTTGAAAAGAATCTGGTAAGAGATTTAATATTTATTGTATCATTAATCTCCTCAGTACTTCCAGTTTCACAATGCAATGATTAAGTTAGTTTATTATCTTTGCTATTTAAACAGTAAGTCATTGAAGTAGTTTCCCCACTGAGTTGTGGAGTGTATGGAATATTTATAGTGCCCTCTGAGCTCACCAGAATAATTTTATATTTGACTCGTTCAGAGTGGTCAAGAGGGTACTGGCTCATTTTCAGATGCATCCTGTATAATGTTATGAGTTAGTGACCCGGTGGCCTGGTGGCTAAAGCTCCCGCTTCACACACGGAGGGCCCGGGTTCGATTCCCGGCGGGTGGAAACATTTTGGCACGTTTCCTTACACCTGTTGTCCTGTTCACCTAGCAGCAAATAGGTACCTGGGTGTTAGTCGACTGGTGTGGGTCGCATCCTGGGGGACAAGATTGAGGACCCCAATGGAAATAAGTTAGACAGTCCTCGATGACGCACTGACTTTCTTGGGTTATCCTGGGTGGCTAACCCTCCGGGGTTAAAAATCCGAATGAAATCTTATCTTATCTTATCTGACCAACAATCAGGCATGAACTGAGGGTTCATGGTATCCAAGAAGTGCTGTCTCCATCTCTGCTCAAGTTTCACTAAACCAAGCTTCTCGTATGCCTCATAAACCTTTAAACCCTTTCAGGGTCCGTCCCGTTGATCAACGGCTTTACATTGAGTGTCCAAACCGTAGATCAACGCCAAAGTTCTAGCGCCGTCAAATTTAGGGTGAAAACGCTCATAGGCCTACATGTGAGAGAACGGGTCTGCGTGGTGGGTGTGCGCCATAAACAAAAAATCTAGGCGCCCGCATAGCATTGTGGGAACGCTGGCTCAGTTACCCTTGTTCACCATGCCTCGTCGCAAGTCAGCTCTCACTCCCCAGAAAATTGGGACTCTCCTCTTCCTATCTGATAGTTCTGACACTGATGGAAGTGGAAATGAAGACGAATTCTACGGCTTTGATCAGTTAGTGACAAAAAAGAATGACCAGGATATCGATAATAGTGCAGAAAACCCTGATGATCCTCAACCTTCTACCTCTGGTGTGGGCACTCGTGACTCACGGTCGGTTGTTCCTCATCGCAAGAGAAAACTAATATTTTCGCGTGGCCAGGCCTCTGACTTCAGTAATGAATGATGATAGTGACGTGGACTGTGATTTTATTGCGCTCGACGATCAATTGAGTAGTGATAGTGAGGAATCATATTCACCAGTGAAGCGTCGGTATGTTCGCCGCCGCATGCGCTCGGGTAGTGTACCCTATGCTGTGCCCAGGGGACGGAGTACATCCCGTGGCCCAACACCAGTTTTAGGTAGTGATAATGAGGATGATGTGGCTACACTTGGCATGGATAGACCACAGGCATCAGTGGATGGTGTTAGTGGTGATGTTAGTGGCACCGCCATGCGTGACTCACGAGGCCATGCTGGGACCCACGCTGCTGACTCGTCAGTTCAAGGACAAAGCAGAGCGCCAGCCACCAGCCCACCACAACCACAACCACCCGCACAACCAGCCTATGATGTCCAGTATCCACCAGCAAACCGTACGTGGGATTGGCAGCAAAATCCCAATTTTGTTCCCAAGCCTCACCACTTTGATGATTCTCAAAGTGGAATTCTACCTACTTTTCCCCTTGGAACCACGGCCAATGAACTGGAATTCTTTGAATTATTCTTTGACCAGCCATTGATGGAAATTATTGTCAGGGAAAGTAATAAGTATTTTGAGTACACCATGGCAAATATGATCATATCACCACAGTCAAGACTACACAGGTGGAAAGAGACGACTGTTGCAGAAATGTATTTGCTTTTTGCAACAATAATGCTTATGCCTCACGTCTATAAGCATAATATAAAAGCATACTGGTCCACAGATCGGCTAATTTCTACACCCGGTTTTCAGTGAAATCATACCAGTGAACAGGTTTATCTTACTCTTACGTATGTTGCACTTCTCTGACAAAACCAGGCCTGACAGAAGTGACAGGTTATACAAGATTAGAAATGTTTTCATGTATCTCAAACAAAAGTTCAGCATATACTTTTATCCATTCAAGAATCTTGTAATTGACGAGTCTTTGATTTTGTTCAAAGGGAGACTGTCATTCAAGCAGTATATACCGAGCAAGAGGAAACGCTTTGGTATAAAACTGTTTGTACTCTGTGATTGTGACAGTGGCCTGGTGTTGGATATTGTTGTATACACGGGTAGTAAAACATTGAAAGATACCAAGATGTTACTGGTATCTCAGGTGACGTAGTGAGAAACATGATGGCACCTTAAACTTGGTAAGGGGCATACATTATATACTGATAACTGGTACACAAGCCCATTACTCAGTGATTTCATGCGAGCGAACAAGACAGATGTGTGTGGCACAGTGCGTTCTAATCGTAAAAAATATGCCCAGGCTCAACGCAGGTGCTCGTGGTGATGACGTTCAGGTGTTTACTGCCAATGACATCATGGCATTACGGTGGCATGACAAACGAGATGTCACATTGTTGACAACCATTCACCGTAATGAAATGCAAGATAGTGGCAAAGTTGATCGAGTGACTAATGAACGTATTCGAAAACCAGTGTCAGTGATTGATTACACACAAAACATGCGCTTGGTTGACAAGTGTGACATGCAGATGGTTTTGTTGACTGTGTTCGTAAGAGTTACAAGTGGTACATGAAACTTTTCTTCCATCTCATGGACATTTTCAATGCTCAATGCATATAATATGTACCAAATAAAGACTGGCAACAGACCACCGTATGGTGAATTTTGTTTGTCTGTTGTCAGACAACTCATAATGAAGTACCAGGTAACAACACCTGCTATACAACATGGTCCTCGAATTCCTCAGGATATACCCAAGCGTTTGAGGAGAGATGGTGATCATTTCATAATACAGCTTCCTTCAACTAAGAAGAAATTTGCTCAGAAGAGATGCATTGTCTGTGCACAAACAAAACGACGGCAACAAAGACGCAAAGACACTCGGTTTATGTGTGAGGAATGTAAGGTGCCTCTGTGCATGGTGCCTTGTTTCAAGGAGTTCCACAAGCTCCAGCAGTTTTAAAACCATGTTCAGTGATTGTAAATATGTAAATATATGATAGAACATTAGTATTATACAATATTTGTGCATGTTTATTGTAATAAACAACAGTGGTAAACAATAATATGATAATAACTTTAGTGCGGTTATTGTGTTCAATACAGTGAGTTTATATATATACATTATATACAGTATTGGTCTCTCAGGCCCCATATGTTAGTAGGAATAGAAAAAAATTGGAAAAGAAAATAAAAAACAACTAAAACCACAAAATAATGTAATGCGCGTATGTGGAATTCGTCGATGTTGCCGCCACGACATCATTTTGACAAACTTCTTGCACTGTATCTCGGTAAGTACTGATCAGATTTTTTTTTTTTGTCTTATTACCTTCACAAAAATTTGCTCTTTAATTCTGTAAGAAAAAATAATTTTTTTTTTTTTTTCAAAATTTCTTGGACACTGGAGCACCACTTCAGATTTTGGCCTTGGACCCTGAAAGGGTTAATCCATGAGCTTGGTAATTTTTATTCCAGATCTTCACATCCATGTTAGCTGCATCTTCTAGATACTTTGTAGTCATTGTATCAATATTAAAGTAATTTTTAACAATACTCTCAAGTTCTTCAATTCTCTTTTTTGGGATGCCATCATAACTTCTCAGTAAAGCTCCAGCGGCATTCCTAACAATCTTGTGAGCACTGTCGATAACAACTTTCACATCTCGTTCAGTACCTATAGGAGCATTAAATTCTTTTGCTAGTACGTGTCTCAAGGCATTGTCATGCAAATTGCTTAGTCTGTGGCATTCTAAACAAAGTAGAACTACATCGTGGCTTTGATGATCTTTAAGTATGTCCGGGAAATGTTTACGATATTCATGAGGCACAACATTTTTCCTAATGAAAGACTCGCCCTTGCCACACACTACGCAGATATTGTGCCGCTCCAGGAGATAAAATTTCCCGTCATCTTTCTCAACTTGTGGACGGCCTGCAGGCTCAAAATTTAGACGCACAACAAGTGGGTTCTCACTGATCTTGACCCCAAGACCCCTTTCTATGTACCACTGTGTTTTTATGGGGTCACAAGCGCATAGGGGTTGATCATCTGGGGCTTGAAGTTGGCAGTTATGATACAGAGGGCCCCTACGTGTGGAGTATGCTCGGGAGATGGATTTGAACTTCATGGAAGGTGCAGATTGACTGTTATATGCAACCTCTGTGGAAGATGTGTTCTTGTCATAAATAATGTGAGAATGTACCGTATATACCCAAGTGTAAATCAAGAGTTTAAGACAAAGTTTTTAAACAGATAATAGGGGATCATTATGTTCCTGAGTAACATTTTTAAGAGGTTGAAATATTTACATGTTGAAGGCCTATGGCCTTCTTATTTCTTTGGCTTATCAAGGCAAAACCATACTTGGTAACCTCAGTCTATCTTAACCCCTACACTTTCCAAACGTATATATACGTTCTCTCGCCCAGTGCCCTGAATATTTTGAAAAATAAAAAAGTCATATTATTTCATTGAACTAAAGAGAAAATTTTTCTAAGTGTTATAGGATTAAAATAAAAAAAATATAGGGTCAGTACTCACTGAGATATGAGGCTGCAAAGTTGGCACTTAATGCTCACCTGACGGCAACATTGAGTCCTGCCGCTTGTAGAAGTGTTGCCGATATACCATTTTTCTCATTTTTATATTTTATATAATTTTTATGTTCTGATAATTACAATTTATTGTAGTTCTTGTCATTTCATAACCAATCTTTGTTCTGTCACTAATATTAGGTACTGAAATTATACTCAAGTTATCACAAACACATTGACAGGTGGACATTTACACATGCCTTGGTCATTTACTATTGTCCAGGAATATATACAAAGTATTTATAGGTCCCAGCAATGTTTTGGATACAGAGGAGTATAGAAGAAGGAAGAAGAAAGGAGGAGGAGGAGGAAGGAAGAATGAAGAGTTCCCTTGAAGTAAAGTGTAAGACAAGTGTCAGTGACAAGTATCCGGGAGGGCAGTGATAAGATGAGATAAGGGATGACATTTGATGGGTGCCAGCAGGGTGCAGAGATAAGATGAGATAAGGGATGACATTTGATGGGCACCAGCGAGGGTGCAGAGATAAGGGGTGACATATGATGAGCTTGTATCTCTGCCTCTGATTATCTGTGTCTCTGTCTGCTTGTCTCTTTCTGTCTCTCTGCTGTCTCTCTGTCTCAGAGAGAGAGCCACTGTGAACCAACAGGTGTTCTTATGCATTATATCTATGAGCACAGAATAGCACCTTGGATTTTTTAGGCTATCCTAGGTAATTTACACTATGTATAATTATATGTGTGTGTACCTGTGAGACAGATAAAAAGAGATAAGAGAAAGATAGAGACAGACAGAGACAGACGTACCCTAAACTTGGGGTTAACATCACTTTCCTCTTAAAAGAGGAGTGTTAATAACACATTACATCATGAATCCTTGGTGTTTGCCGCACTGTTTGCTCTACCTGGCTCTCAATTTAACTGGCACTCCCACAAGGTACTAAGTGGTCCCAGATTTTTTGTTAACCCTTTCAGGTTCTGTGCCATAGAGCTACGACTTTACGTTCAGGGTCCAAACCGTAAATCTATGCCAAAATTCAAGCGGCGTCAAATTTAGCGCGAAAAGGCTGGTAGGCCTACATGTGAGAGAACGGGTCTGCGTGGTGTGTGTGCACCTTAAACAAAAATTCTAGGCGCCCACATAGCATTGTGGGAACGCCAGCTCAGTTACCTTTGTTCACCATGCCTTGTCGCAAGGCAGCTCTCACTCCAAGGAAAATTGGGACTCTCCTCTTCCTATCTGATAGTTCTGAGTCTCATGGAAGTGGAAATAAAGACGAATTCTTTGGCTTTGATCAGTTAGTAACCGAAAGGAATGACCAGGATATCGATAATAGTGCAGAAAACCCTAACGATCCTCAAAGTTCTACCTCTGGTGTGGGCACACCTCAGTCACGTTCAGTTGTACCTCATCGCAAGAGAAAACTATTATTTTCGCGTGGCCAGGCCTCTGACTTCAGTAATGATGATGATGGTGACATGGATTGTGATTTTATTGCGCTTGACGATCATTCGAGTAGTGATAGTGAGGAAACATATTCACCAGTGAAGCGTCGGTATATACGCTGCATGCACTCGGGTAGTCTTCCCTATGCAGTGCCCAGGGGACGGAGTACATCCCGTGGCCCTACACCAGGAATAGACAGTGAAAGTGAGGATGATGTGGCTACACTTGGCATGGATAGACCACAGGCATCAGTAGGTGGTGGTGATGGTGGTAGTTGTGATGGTAGTGCCACAGCCATGCATGACTCACCAGCCCAGGCTGGGACCCACGCTGCTGACTCCTCAGTTCAAGGACAGAGTAGAGCATCAGCCACCAGCCCACCACAACCACAACTACTAGCACAACCAGCTTATGATGTCCAGTATCCACCAGCAAACCGTATCTGGGATTGGCAGCAAAATCCCAATTTTGTTCCCAAGCTCCACCAGTTTGATGACTCTCAAAGTGGAATTCTACCAACTTGTCCCCTTGGAAACACTGCAAATGAACTGGAATTTTTTGAACTATTCTTTGACCAGCCATTGATGGAAACTATTGTCAGGGAAAGCGACAAGTATTTTGAGTACACCATGGCAAATACGATGATATCACCACAGTCAAGACTACACCGGTGGAAAGAGACAACTGTTGCAGAAATTTATTTGCTTTTTGCAACAATAATGTTTATGCCTCATGTCTATAAGCATAATATAAAATCATACTGGTCCACAGATCGGCTAATTTTTACCCCGGTCTTCAGTGAAATCATCCCAGTGAACAGGTTTATCTTACTGTTACGTATGTTGCACTTCTCTGACAAAACCAGGCCTGACAGAAGTGACAGGTTATACAAGATTAGAAATGTTTTTATGTATCTGAAACAAAAGTTCAACATGTACTTTTATCCATTGAAGAATCTTGTACTTGACGAGTCTTTGATTTTGTTCAAAGGTAGACTGTCGTTCAAACAATATACAGTGGACCCCCGGTTAACGATATTTTTTCACTCCAGAAGTATGTTCAGGTGCCAGTACTGACCGAATTTGTTCCCATAAGGAATATTGTGAAGTAGATTAGTCCATTTCAGACCCCCAAAGATACACGTACAAATGCACTTACATAAATACACTTACATAATTGGTCGCATTCGGAGGTGATCGTCATGCGGGGGTCCACTGTATACAGAGCAAGAGGAAATGCTTTTTTATAAAACTGTTTGTACTCTGTGACTGTGACAGTGGCCTGGTATTGGATATTGTTATATACCCAGGAAGTAAAACATTGAAAGATACCAGGATGTCATTGGGTATCTCAGGTGACGTAGTGAGAAGCATGATGGCACCTTATCTTGGTAAGGGGCATACATTATATACTGATAATTGGTACACAAGCACAGTGATTTCTTGCAAGTGAACATGACAGATGTGTGTGGCACAGTGCGTTCTAATCGTAAACATATGCCCAGGTTCAATGCAGGCACTCATAGTGGTGAGGTGCAGGTGTTTACTGCCAATGACATCATGGCATTATGGTGGCATGACAAACGAGATGTCACATTGTTGACAACCATTCACCGTAACAAAATGCAAGACAGTGGCAAAGTTGATAGAGTGACTAATGAACATATTCGAAAACCAGTGACAGTGATTGATTATACACAAAACATGCGCTTGGTTGACAAATGTGACATGCAGATTGGCTTTGTTGATTGTGTTCGTAAGAGTTACAAGTGGTACATGAAACTTTTCTTCCATCTCGTGGACATTTCAATGCTCAGTGCATATAATATGTACCAAGTGAAGACTGGCAACAGACCACCGTATGGTGAGTTTTGTTTGTCTGTTGTCAGACAACTCATAATGAAATACCAGGTAACAACACCTGCTATACAAAACCGTCCTCGAACTCCTCAGGAAATACCCAAGCGTTTGAGGAGGGAAGGTGATCACTTCATAATACAGCTTCCTGCAACTAAGAAGAAATTTGCTCAGAAGAGACGTGTTGTCTGTGCACAAACAAAATGACGGCAACAAAGACGCAAAGACACTCGGTTTATGTGTGAGGAATGTAAGGTACCTTTGTGCATGTTCCCTTGTTTCAAGGAGTTCCACATGCTGCCGCAGTTCTAAAAACATGTCCAGTGATTGTACATATGTAAATATATAATAGAACATTAGTGTTATATGTACAAGATTTGTGCATGTTTATTGTAATAAATAAAAGTGGTAAACAATATTATAATAATAGCTTTAGTGCAGTTATTGTGTTCAATACAGTGAGTTTATATATATACATTATATACAGTATTGGTCTCACAAGCCACAAATGTTACTAGGAAAAGAAAAAAATTAGAAAAGAAAAGAAAAAAGTATAAAAAACATAAAATAAAGAAATGCGAGTTTGCGGAATTCGCTAATGTTGCTGCCAACCGGTCATTTTGGGTCAACTTCTCGCCTCTGTATCTCGGTAAGTACTGATCAGAATTTTTTTTTGTTTGTTTTATTACCTTCACAAAAATATACTCTTTAATTCTGTGAGAAAAAAATAATTTTTTTTTTTCAAAATTTCTTGGACACTGGGGCACCCCTTCCAATTTTGGCCTTGGACCCTGAAAGGGTTAATATGGTGCACACCGAGTGTTATGACCCATTCTATGTTGACCAGGCATCTCAGGCCAATCGTGCCAAATTTGGAGGCAGGAAAAATAAAACGTATACAGTGAACCCTCAACCAATGATATTAATCCGTTCCAGAGAGCTTGTCCTTAGCCATATTTATCATTAGCCGAATTAATTTTCTCCATAAGAAATAACGGAAATCCAATTAATCCGTTCCAGACAGCCAAAAGTATTAAAAAATTTTTTTTTTCATGAAATATATATTTCCCTACAAAGAAAACAATGAGACATGCACAATAACTACATAAATAAATTCTAAAATGACACTTACCTTTATTGAAGAGTACTGATGAGTGATGAGACACTATTTTTCTTGAACAATCTGGGATTTTCAGAGTGATACATGAGTAAAGGCTTCACTTTGCAATCCCCACTAGCATTACAACATGAGAGTTAGCCTGTCTTTCATAGGCGTGTGTCCTGGGAGTGCCTTTTCCTCCTGAGTAATGTAGGTTATGTTTGGCATTCTCTTCCAAAACAGGCCAGTTTCGTCACAATTGAACACTTGTTGGGGTTGGAATTTTTCAGCTTCGCCATGCCTTAGCACACTGTGTAAGCCACTACAATTCTTAAATCTCTCAAACCAACCTTTGCTGGCCTTAAATTCACCAATAGGAGCACTAGTTCCAGGCATTTTTTCCTGTTCACCTGGGCGTTAGTCAACTGGTGTGGGTCACATCCTGGGGGTCAAGATTATCCCTTTCATGGTCGGCAGGTCTTCTCCTAAACTTGTTCTAAGGGTCGGAAATTTTTCGGAAAAAAAACAATTATTATTTTTTCTTATGAAAAGATAGAGAATCTTTTCCCGATCATAATGACACCAAAAGTATGAAATTTGATGGGAAAACTTACAGAATTATGCTCTCGCGAAGTTAGCGGTCTCAACGATGTTTATGCATCGGCGATTTTGCCCACTTTGAGCCCTATTTTCGGCCAATTCCTATGTACCAGTTGACAAAAATCATACCTATTTCACTAGAACTCCATTTTTTCTAGCGAATGAGTACATGAAAGCACCCATTTACCGATTTCAACTATCCAATAACGTGGTCAGAAATTGGCAATTTTGCCAATTTCACACAAATTTCAAAAGATGCCAATTTCCAAATAGGGTCCAGAATAAACAAGACAGACATTTCTGGCACTAAAATAACATTTCCTCTGTTCATTACTCATGTCCCCAGGCCTCTGTTACATTTCTTTTGCTTTCCACTTTGAATTTTTATTCTCACAAAAAATAGAAGATTTATGTTATGCAGACTACTGCATTCGTGTAGAAATGGCGTAGAAATGGTATAAATAATATCTGGGCACTTGTGAAAGAATATTACACTCACCAGTTGAAGTGTATTGGACGCGTAGCATGATTTGTTTACCTCTGAACTTTGGCAAAAATCGAACATTTCTGCCACTTTGAGCTCAATTTCAAGGTACTTTTCATTATGAAACCAATCAAAATTATTCCAATTTTCATTCTATAAAATGAGACCAAGAAAACTAGAATAAAACCATAAATAGCATATGAAAATACACTGCAAAGTTGCTGTTTTAAATCAAAAACACGGTCGGAGTTTTTTTTCTCATTATGCACTGTGTGCTGCAGGATTTTTTTTATACTGCACACACTGACCACATAGACCCATTCTTTCATGTGCAGGCCTACCAGCTTTCTCTCGCTAGATTTGAAGGTGCTAGAATTTATGCGTACTAGTATGGCACCAACCCTGGCATGCAAGCCGTACTAGTACGGCACCAACCCTGAAAGGGTTAAGGACCCCTATGGAAATAAGTTAGACAGTCCTCGATGATGCACTGACTTTCTTGGGTTATCCTGGGTGGCTAACCCTCTGGGGTTAACTGTTTTTTGGTAATTGTTTCTCGTTAAGCCACACCAACAACACTCTGTCCATATCTTCGAGTAGTACAGTTGATGGTGGTGCAGCAGCTGACAGTGATACAGCAGCAGTTGACGGTGGTGTAGCAGCAGCAGACGGTGGTGCAGCAGCAGCTGACCGTGGTACAGCAGCAGCTGATGGTGGTGCAGCAGCAGCTGACTATGGAACGATAGTATTTCTCACCCTTTTTACCACAGGGTTGGCACTAGAAACTTCCTTATTTAGCAGTTACAAGCACTACAAACAATGGAATAATACAAAATGTGTTGCATGTATGCGTGGAACCGTCCACCCTGGCTTGTAAACAATGGCACACTAGTTGAAGGCAGGGCAGCTGAGGCGCTCAGGCTGGATGGACAGGCGGACATGTTTGGGACAAATGTTCTTACCCGAGTTTTTCATCATTGGTCGAGCCAATATTTTTACGCAAAAACGCATTGTTAGCCGATTTTATTGTTAGTCAATGCCATCGTTGGTTGAGGGTCCACTGTATATACATTTCGGGTGCTAGCGGTAAGAACGGATATATACGTTTGGATCGTTTAGGGGTTAATTATAATATCCAGGGTATGGTTGTCAGGCTCCACGGACAACCTGTTTATTCACTGTTAAATGTTCTAATTCTCCCTCTAAGGTTAAATTAATTTTTTTTGTTACTGGTATGTAGGTTTCATTAGGTTAGGTTCAGGTTTATTATCCTAAATATACACAACATACCACAAAAACCAAAAGCATGAGAAATTTATGCATGCGATAAAAAATACCCTCTTCCCTTGGTTTGTTTACAATAAAATGGGATCACCGCAGAGCTGTTTGTTCCTGTCCTCACGACTAAACAATACTGTATTTCGGTTTTCAGTTCACATGAAATGTGAATTATGGTTGCATTAAATAATGTAAATAAACAGTATTGCTCTGTTTATTATGGTGTGGGGAATGTACTGAAGGTAACTGTGGGGAAAAAAGTGAATACTTCTCCAGGCTAAAAAACTGACACCTCAAAAACTATTTCTCCGAGATTAATGGACTGATTACATCATCTTTACTTTGCTACTATGCCTGATGCACCTGTATTTGACTGAAGAAGCTTACTGTATAGGTGAAATGTTTTAATTAACAATAAAGATACCAAAATGTTGCACATATCTTACTCTTCCACCATTTGACCTCTTTGAAAGTCCCTAAAAAACTTGGGTAGATCAATAATTTGATGTTCTGCTGGAGTGTAAACAGGGCAACATTTATGAAAATTCAGGGAAATCAGCTGGCTGAACTTGAGTCCTGGAGGAAGGAAGTACAGTGCCTGCATTCTGAAGGAAGGGGTGGGGATGTTGCAGTTCGGAGAGTGATCTGAACTGTGATGTCAGCTCATTTTTGGAAAGACAGCAATTGAATGAATGACAGTAAAAGTGTTTTCCTCTTTCTCAAGTCACCCTTCCTCAGTGAGAGACAGCTGGAGTAGTAAAAAATATATGAATAATTAAGGATTTTTTATGAAAAAGTAGGGTCGATCTAGGTATACCACTGGGTTACACATTACTCCAGTTTACCTGGAGTTTACCTGGAGAGAGTTCCGGGGGTCAACGCCCCCGCAGCCTGGTCTGTGACCAGGCCTCCTGGTGGATGAGAGCCTGGTAAACCAGGCTGTTGCTGCTGGCTGCACGCAAACCAACGTACGAGCCACAGCCCGGCTGGTCAGGAACCGACTTTAGGTGCTTGTCCAGTGCCAGCTTGAAGACTGCCAGGGGTCTGTTGGTAATCCCCCTAATGTATGCTGGGAGGCAGTTGAACAGTCTCGGGCCCCTGACACTTATTGTATGGACTCTTAACGTGCTAGTGACACCCCTGCTTTTCATTGGGGGGATGGTGCATCGTCTGCCAAGTCTTTTGCTTTCATAGTTTACCTGGAGTTTACCTGGAGAGAGTTTCGGGGGTCAACGCCCCCGCGGCCCGGTCTGTGACCAGGCCTCCTGGTGGATCAGCGCCTGATCAACCAGGCTGTTGCTGCTGGCTGCACGCAAACCAACGTACGAGCCACAGCCCGGCTGATCAGGAACTGACTTTAGGTGCTTGTCCAGTGCCAGCTTGAAGACTGCCAGGGGTCTGTTGGTAATCCCCCTTATGTGTGCTGGGAGGCAGTTGAACAGTCTCGGGCCCCTGACACTTATTGTATGGTCTCTTAACGTGCTAGTGACACCCCTGCTTTTCATTGGGGGATGGTGCATCGTCTGCCAAGTCTTTGCTTTCGTAGTGAGTGATTTTCGTGTGCAAGTTCGGTACTAGTCCCTCTAGGATTTTCCAGGTGTATATAATCATGTATCTCTCCCGCCTGCATTCCAGGGAATACAGGTTTAGGAACCTCAAGCGCTCCCAGTAATTGAGGTGTTTTATCTCCGTTATGCGCACCGTGAAGGTTCTCTGTACATTTTCTAGGTCAGCAATTTCACCTGCCTTGAAAGGTGCTGTTATGTGCAGCAATATTCCAGCCTAGATAGAACAAGTGACCTGAAGAGTGTCATCATGGGCTTGGCCTCCCTAGT